TTCAACATATAAATGCAGGGGGGACCCAATTCCATCCCTAACAATATCATGACGTAAGTAATAGAAAATATGAAATGCCCCTCACCTTTGATCATACTCTCCAGAATGGAAGCGCCGTTAGTAGCTTCTTTCTGTTCATACTTTTCACTGTTCTGACACAAACATGTAATATAAATTAGATCATGAAAAAGCTCCCTTTCATTATAGATTTTATTCACTCATTGCTGTATATCTTCTGTATCAATACATAAAAATCCCCAAATATTTTATATTCTTTCACAGCTGCATAGTATTCTCTTATAAAGATTATACGATACCTCACTTTGAACTTATTACAGGCAATGTTGCAGAAAATATTCTTATATATGTATATATTTATATTTTCCTTGGTAATTCAGTGTGGTAGAGTCTCAGAAGTGGAACTGCTAAGTCAAAGAGTATGCATCCTTAAAATCTAAATAGTTACAGGTGTGACAGTTCATAGTTCTAGCAGAAGTATAGTGGAGTACTCATTTCCCCACTCCCACCCTAAGACAGTACCGATATTTTTAGTTTTTCTATTTAATAGGTTAAAAAAATAAGCATGAGTGAATTTTTAAAAATATATTAGTCATTTGTAGTTCTTTTTCTGTGAATTACCTATTCATATTCTTGGCCTATTTTTCCCATCACGTTATTTTTAAATATTCATTTGCAAGAGCTTTATGCATTTTTGTCTTCCAATTTTGTTCACTTTGCTAATCATGTAGAATTAAAGTTACAGGGCCAAGTCTGGCCTTCTTACAGGTAGATGGTACCTTTAAGAGTGCTGGAGGGTAGGAATAAGACTCCAAGCCTTGGAATGCAGCCAGGGCAGGGATGGCCTCTACAGATGCCTTCTCGGTGCCTAAGTGCAGCATTTAGAATGGCTTATCCAACGACCAGCCCAGCCGCTTTGCCTGAAGAAAAACTAGACTCTTAAGGAGGGGCTTGTTCATGTGTAACAGCCTAATGCTGAGCCCACTAACTACCTTATTTGTACTCACAGCATCCACTGGTAACCATGGGCTTGGGCTGAGAGATAAAAAGCCTGTGGATGAATGGCAAGGAGCGAAGACTCCACACAGTGCGATATTAAGGAAGCACTTGGAGTGCATTTAGAAAAAGAGAAGTGACTATGCATATTTGTACATATATAATTAAATTATACTTCTTTATGATTCCAAATACATGTTTTCAAAAAAGCAAGAAGAATCAGGAGAGCAATGAATAACACAAATATAAACAATAAGAATCTTACATACCTGGAGCTTGAAAGGACATTAGCAATTTTCATCATTTTAAATTTTAGTCCAACGCTGTTTTACAAGTAAGGAAACCAGGGCTCAGAGAGGTAAAATGATGTGCCCAGGTTCACTGCCCCACTTACTGGTTTACTGGAGAGATGGGTTTAGAAGCTCCCTGATTTAGGAGTAATTTGTGTCCCTGGATTAAAACAAAAACCCTCATACATTTTAATGTGACTTTTAGCAGAATTAAAATGTTGTAAGTTACTAATCAGGCTTTTACAATTATCTTACATCCCTGCCTGAGCCCCAGCCACACTCTTTGGTGGGAGGTGAACTCAAACCCTGAAGTCAACCCAAAGCCTCAAGAAGTGGCATCCTGGGATTTTACCCACAGACTTGGACTTGACCTAGACCAGTCAGCTCCCAGAATCAGCGACTCAGAGCTTTGTTCAGTGGATAATAGTGATGTGTTTAAATGATCATCTAAAAATACTGTTTCTTGTGCAGATACCACATAATGGACTTCAGGGGTGACATCTTCACTGTAGAGAAACAGAGCGTTTCCTTTACTGAGACAAAGCAACATGGCTGTGTTTTTACTTAAGTGCAGGACCAAAACAATGCATGAATCACTTCCTCTGTAAGACAGTGAACTGCAAACTAAGTGCTCATTATCCAAACCTCAGGCCAGGTCCACGCTGCCAGCCCACTTCCTCAGGACGTGTCTCTCAGTGCTTCTGGCTCTTTCTGTGACAGTGACCAGCTGCCTCTCATTTCCTCACTGTCCAGGTGCTCTGGTGACGGTGGTGATAGTGGGTTAAGATTGATTGTTTAACAGCAGGAATCCATCATGCAAAGATTAAGACTTTTAAATCCTCAACTATGTTTTTAAACCCTCAATTAGAAATCTGGCTTTGTTATCAAAACAATTTAGCTATATACGATATTGTTTTATTTTCCTCTTAGCCACTATTTCAAAGCCCGTACCTCTAATAATATGACGCTTTGAAAGAAAGGTTCTGTTTATTTTTTTCCCTTTATATAACGCGGCTTCTATAGTCAGTGTTTATTGAACTCCTGCAATGTGCCTGCACTACGCTGAGACCTGGGGACATCAGTGATCAAAACATAAAAATCCTTACCTTCATGGAGCTTATGTTCCAATAGATGTAGACAAACAATAAAACAAACATAGAAATAGCTAATTATTTAGTTTGTTACAAGATTTTAAGTGCTACGAGGAAAAAAGAAATCAGATTAAGGATGAGTAGGAGTGTTATGTTATGGAGTGTTATGTTATGTTATGTTATGATATGGATGAGTGGAAGTGGAGGCAGTTGGAATCCAAGATACTACGCATGGTCAAATGAGACCATGGTCTTTGCTGAGATTTGAGCAAAGACTAAATTGGCAGAGGTGTTCATCATGCAGACCTCCGGGGAAGGAGTGCTGCAAGAAGAGGGAAAAGACAGCACTGTTGTGTTATAAGGCTGGGGGGCAGATGGCTTGGTTAAGGAAAAGCAAGAAGACATGTACAGGGGGCGGTGGGGGAAATATATTGTGAAGCCACACCAAAAACTGTGGCTTTGATTCTGAGTGAAATGGGAGCCCCTTAGAGGGACTGGGGTAGAGAAGCAACATGATCTGACTTCTGTTTGAACAGATGCCCTGGCTTCATATTTGACTGTGGGAAAGTGGGTGAGCCAACCAGTGGGCCAGCCAAAATTTGTGAACTGAACATATATAATCCTGAATGAAACAACATCCAAGTTGTTAGAGTTCATTTAAGGATGTATTTATTTACAAGATACAAATGTTTAATATTTAATAGGAATTAAAGTGCTTAATTTTACATTTCTGATTTTTTTGCTTTTATGACCAAATATACATATGTTACACAGTATGTACACTATCTGCAAGTATGTTACATTCATATACCTAGAAAAGGAAAATTACCTTTGTGTACACTTTTTCACATTTGAATTAACTCTAAAATTCTTACATACCTTTTCGAACTGATCAGTTAACAATTCGAAACCCAGATAACACTTATTCAAAAATATCAGTCAACTGTCACTCACAAAATGAAATGCTAGTTTGGAAAACAAAAACAAAAAACAGTTTTATATACAGGTATGATTGCTAATGAAGGGAGACCCCCCCAAGTGATACATTCCAACATCCATATAATGTGTAATATATGATGCATTTCTGTCATCATAATGGTCCCTACAGAATATTATGTTTCTCCCCAAACCTACATATATATCACTCTATGTATTTGGTACTCACTTATTAAAATACACTACAATGAGATTTCTGGATTTAATTTGTCACTAATTCTACCTAATCTCACTAATTCAATCTATAATGCATTTTAGAAAAGCATGACCATCATGTAACTCAGGGACCCCACAAGTTCAAAACGATCTTGTAGAAGTCATGTGCTCTTTCATCTCAAAACACAAACTACACTACACTCCGCCACGTACTCAGCGCAGAAAGTCAAACACCACGATGGACTTTACAGGGATTTTTTTTTTTACCTCAGTTAACGGTGCCAAAAATGACCCAATAGAATGAAGTTATTTTTTTAAGCCTAAAGGAAAAAGGAAATAATGACAAAATGCTAATGATATCATTTAGAAGCCAAGGTGAAAGGCCCGGGTGCAATAAATCCCACCAATACACAATTATATAGATTTCTATCTTACAGTTTATATCCCTTCTGCGGTTTAGTATTTTACTCTTCTCTCCACACACAGTGCTCTGATCTGGAGACCAGCGGCCTCCTTCCAACCACCTCTCTGTTCCTCCCTGCGTGTTCTGGTCCCTCATTTAACTCCTCTCCACCCTATCAGTAACGAAAGCAACGCTATCATCTCAGGACACGATTATGGGCATAAATAAGGATGAATTACACTACAAATCCATGTGAATAATTTATGCTAAAATATTTAAACTGAAAAGAGTTTCTGCAGAAATTTCATTTCAATGAAAAAAACAGAATTGGAATTCAACAGTATTTTTACATATATACATGTACTCAGAAATTCACAGAGAGGGTTTTAAAAGCAGATTTAGTGGTCTTTATATATCATATGCATATTTTTTATATCTGGAGAATCTCTAGTAGATAGTAATATGAAAATAAAAAGCAGTTGGATACAATTAAAACTGGATGAGAATAAAGAAATATAGTCCACCTACAGACGTCAACGCAGCCCTAAGAATAAGACCGGGTATGCCACAGTTTTTATAGTGATACATTCTTGAAGACTACAAAAGTTAAGAATGAAAACATTAAGACATTCTTGCCCTTTGAATTAATTTTAGCTTATATTATATATACCATGTGCTTAACCTTGGACCTGCTCATGCAAACACGTGATGCAGGAAATTTTCATTATAATCTTCTGTTCTGCATTATAGCAAAGATAACTGCAAAAAACGAGAGCCCTGTTCCCTGGAAGCTGATTTTCTCCTGTTGGTGCCTTTTCCTCAGGGTGGATCCAGCCCAGAGAGGTCATCGTCAGAGTCATCACAGACAACATGCTCAGAACAAGAACTTAAGGCTTTGAATAGAGAGAGATGAGATCTAAAATTTAAAGAGAATAAAACACCCTGTTCCACAAAGTAGACAAGAATAGGAAGACGTTATCATGACCTCGCAGAAGTATTTTTGACCGAAGATTTTTAGAAGGCATCACTGAATCCTTAACAACCCTGCAGTGCTATGAAGTTTGTAGTTTCGTTTTGTTTTTTTTTTTCTTTTAGGACTATAGCAAGTATTCCTTTTTAAAAAATCGGTGTATATTTATAGATGGGGATGGGGCACATTTAAAAGGCTAGTTCTTTAAAAAGTTCAGTAATTTTTAAAAATGGGGGTATTAAAAAATGGGGGTAGGTTACACAGTGAAGGTAACTGCACCAACCTGGATGCTATTCAACTCCGTGTAAAATGAAAGGCTGCTGACGAAGCAGTGATGTGCTTTCACGCTTCTCGCCATCCTCACCCTTTGCAAAAGTAAAATGATTCTGGTGGTTATTTGAATCCGAGGAATCGTGCCCACTCCTCACACGCACCTTCTCTTCCCCACACTGAGCAGTGAGTCACACTTCATGCCCTATGTCCTGCGCTGGGGGCGCTCACATGAAAACTGCAGTATAAAAACACACCCTGAGGAGTTTTATTGCTTGCACACACGACAGCACTGTAGATGTGGTTGCCACAAAAGTAGCTGCTGGCGTTTTCAGTATTAAAGCCTGGAGATCGGTGTGCACCGCATTTCCTACTTAATATCCCAAGTGGTAGATGTTCAGTAAAGCAAAATTTACATTTACAAAAACTGGAATGTTGTATCATGAACAACAGTTTTTAGCAAAAATGTGTATATTTTTTAATTTGGAGGAAGGGCACTTTAAAGAAAAGACGACTTAGAAAGCACCAAATTAGAGAAAATAAATAATAAGACCCATATGGAATGTTGGTTTTAATAGGAAAGCAACCAATTACTTTTTCAGGTTCAGTCTATCACGACTGCTCAGGTGTCTCAAGAAACAAAAGACATAGATTATTCTTGTGATCAGTCATGCTTTGAGGGTTCGGGTTAAGCAGCGTGCTTACTAATTGGCCGGCTGACTGAGAGGATTTCTTTGCCTTTCTCCAAGTAAAAGCATTAGTGCCTCTAACAAAAAACACAGGTAAGGCTGCTTCACTGCTCCTCTCTGTGCTTGGCTAAGAACATGCGTGGGGTATGAAGATGGTACCTGGAGAACCAGAAATTCCTTTATAATAGAATTGATTGAACTAGAGATAATTTTTTTAAATCAAATTAGAGATAATATTAAGAGCATAATAATAAATACTCTCTTCATGGGTGTTCTCTCAATAATTAAGTTAAATAACAGATATTTACTGAGCCCACACTGTCTGTGTTACTTCCATTGCAGGACAGGAGCTTACTGATCAGGAAAGTACAGTCTTCAGAAAGTATCTGGCCCATAAATCTTCTAATTGGCCCTGACATTTCCACTGTTCTATCCACATTTATAAAAAGTCATCTTCCCCTGATAATCCTTCTACATTTTTATTGCTTCTCTCTTCTTGAGAGTAAGAAAACCAAAGCATCATTTACAGCTACAGTTAACCTTCTCAGTAACCACCCATGAACACAATGTTCTGTACACACACACACACGGCAGGCAACTAGAAAAGAGAAGCAACGTAAAGTATTTATAAGTCTGTCCCTGATTTAACAGGAAGAAGTTACCTTTACCTCTTTTTGGCTCCAAGTATTTGGTTTAATGGAAATGATCACAGCTGCTATTGCTTTTACAGAGGAAGGCAACCTAACCATGCCGGCCATAAGCAGTTCATCTGTTCCTTTGGGGTGGGGAGGGAAACAGGAGCGATTTCAAATTTGCTTTAGAGGACTTAAGTAAATGAGTGAGAACCTCAAATTCTGAGTGGAGCGATACTACATTTAAGGTGTAATCCTCAAAGGCGGAGGACAGTGAGGTCAGTCTTGTGGATTTCTAGACTGATGCATTCCAAGTGATAATATTTGGGGCTTAACAGGGTAAATGGAAAAAACAACAACAACCAGATCTAATTTGAGAAAAGGATTAAGTTAAATAGCCAACTTAATGTGAGACTTTCATCATAACTACAATATAGTGAAGAGCAGCCTTCGTCACAAGGAATTACATTTGTCTATTAAGATACCCCAGAAGGATAAACGAGAAAAGAATGCTCAGACTCTCTTCAATGATCTCGGACCTCCCCAAGACCTCCCATAAAGCATCGCTTTTCAACACTGTGTTTCCCCTGCTCTTCTTTGGTGAGGTTTAAAGAGTTGAGCACAAACTTCCTTTAATATTTATCCAGCCCCTCAAGCATAGATTATCACACGTGAATTTTGTTTCACATCTCACAAAGGGACAGGCATACACAGTTATCTTAAGTATTAGTTACATGCAGTCCTCATTTAACCACGCTTAACAGTCTTACGGAAACGAAAAACAGTACAGTAAGTGTAGTTCCCAGATGTCCCAGTTCTGTGGAAGGTCGGGTATCTTGTACAACTCAGGGTTTTGAGAAACTGTCTGTGCATGCTGATGGTAACTGTTGTAACAATTAGAGCGTTACAAAAGGTATCATAACCTGTATGACTTTGACTATCCCACTGAAATGCACTTCTTCTCAGAATAAGCAATACCGAAGCATTAATTAAACCCTCACCTTATATTTAAATAGAAATTATTAGCACCTTCAAGGAGAGGCACTGTTTTAAATAGGCACAGAACAAAAAATAATAATAGTTTAAAAATATGGTTGGAATTCACTAATATATCCCATGCCACATAAATTACTGCTGTATCTTATTATAAAAATACCAATACCCTTAGATGTCAATCAGTTAAACATAAATCACAAAAAAACATTTAATTTTAGAACATTGTCCAATTCCAAGATAAAACATGCTTTATATTTTAAAAATAAATTAGAGACAAATATGAACCTAAATCTGAAAAGCATGTATAGTATATATATTTATATTTAATGCTATATATACATAATTGCTTTATACTTAAGATATTTTATTCTTCAGAGTATTTCTACAAAAACAAGTATTACCTTTTCTTAATAAGTCAAAAGTTTGAACCCCGACAATCTGCCCTTTTTCTTTTGCTTTAAAAGGACATATGTTATTTATGCAGCTTGAGTTTTATAAACTAAATTAAATAAGTTAATACAATAGCCTAAACTTTACTTGTAACTTTTTAAACTATGGATCTATTTTGGCAACATGGAGGTATATCTTTCAAATTGTTACAAGTCCTGCTTGTGAAAGAGAAGACATTAAAAGATTTCTTAAACGACAGTAGCCTATTCTAACCTGATAGTGATTAATCACTTAATACTATTTTCTCCAAGACAAAAGTACATATTCAAGAAATAGCTCATTTAAAAAAATGCTCCATTTTCACATTATTTCCAACTTTTATCGGTAGAATGGCTCTACACATTAATTTCACCAAGAGTACATAAACATAGGAAAATAGTCCTAACAGATACCTGTATGAGCCTCTATTTTTCAACATAAAGTGCTAAGAGATGAGTAAGGAGAGCTGGGAATGTCGAGCTGTGAATCTTGAGACCCCCACACAGGCTGGTACTGGAGTTCAGCGTTGTGATTTTTACTTAGGTTCGGGGTGATCGTCCAAGGTAGCTGAATGCTCGTTAGGAGCCTCTGGCGTCTCACCTGTGACAGCTAGAAAGATGATTTTCAGCCACTTCTGCTTCAGTTCCTCACTGTCCGCAGCGAAGCTGTGCACAGACTTGGACTGGGTCAGTTTGAAACTGTGTGGCAGGTCTGCACTCCGCGGCATATCGTCCACAATGTAGCCCAGGAGTGGAATGGTGGCCTGCGCTCTGACATCCTACAGAAACGACATAGTACACCAGGGCGTGAGATGTATCAGCGTGCTCTCCATGTTCCTTTGTGGTCTGGCACCTACGAAATAAACCACTTTTCCTACCAGCGCTGCACACAGACTTGCACTGTGACTCTCCACGGTCAAAGCTGTGATCCAGCAACAGCACGGTGCCTGCACATGACGCCACTCATAATGGACTGAATGAATTAGAGAATGTGAGCTGACCCCCAAATCAGCTAAGATTCACTGACCCAGAATTGCCTCTCTGTGAAGGAGCCTACTCAGCTCTTCTTCACTCAGTGAAAAAGGGAAGAAAACAATAGTCACCTTACTATATAAAGCCAGCAATTATTAATGATTCTTTCACTACCAGTTTTATTTGGTGTTTCATTCATTCCTGCATCAATTTACTTAAAGACAGGAAAAGGTCGTAGGAAAAACCATGACATAGAATAAAATATATATCTTGGCATTTTAAGTCTATTTCTTTAAAAAAAAAACTTTTATCCTCACTTGAGGTGATTTTTTCAGTGCTTTTAGAGACAGAGGAAGGGAAAACAGAAACATCAATGCAAAAGAGAAGCTTCGGCTGGTTGCCTCCCACAGGCACCTGGATCCGGGATCAAACCCACAACCTAGGCATGTGGCCTGACCGGGAATTGAACCCTCAACCTTCTGGTTCTGGAACAACACTCCAATCAAGCCACAGCGGCCAGAGCTTAAGTCTGTTTCTAAAAAACGTTTTACTATCTCTTTATGTAGATATAAGCTAAACAACAACAGGTACATTTAAAATTTTATTTATTTCTGGGTAAGTGGATAATTGGTTTAATTACTATTGTTTTTTAAGCATTACACAATCCATAGTTCCTGGTGCTGCTCCGGTTAGAAGCTAAACCTGCATGTTTGTCGTTCCCACAGATTTATCTCAGACCTCTGCACACCCGGCTCTCAAACAGCTGTTACTGGATACCGTTAATCTAAAGTTCGCTTAAATTCCCCTTCCTCTAAATTTCTTTCCTTCCGCTATCCCTCCATTTGGAGGGGAGGCACAGAAAGTTATTTTCTATCATCAAAAAGGCTCCTTCTTCTTCCTGCTCCTCCCTCTGCTTCACCCCCTTCTCCCCGACGCCTCTTCCTAATCAGCTCACTTTCTCATAAACCCGCTGAACAGGAACAAGAGAAGGAGAGAACTGACCCACAGGGTGAAGAAATTGTTGGCTGTAAAAGGAATCCAGCAGTTTCAGTCAACTTTAATTTTAGTTACTTATTCTTTTCCCCGTTACAATGAAACAGTGTAACTGAGCCCTCTTGTTCTATCAAGGAGTGATAAGAGAATTTGGGGTTCAGTGTCCACTCGCCTCCCTCCGTCCCTATGGCCTCTGCTTGCAGAGGGACGCAGTTTACACACCTGGGGGGCACCGTACATGTACAGCACGAGTGGGTCTTGTTTGGGGATCACACACCAAGCTTTCTGCCAGGGCTTGGACTTCTCCATATACTGAAGAAAGCTGCACACCACGCTGTTTCCAGATACTTCTGCTGCTTCAATCTAGAAAAATATAATGGAAGGAAAGAGCAAGAGTCAGGGAGTGAGAACAAACACGAAATGGACCAGACAGAGGAGTAATTCAACTTAAGGCAATATTCATTAAATAGTGTCCACATAAAATGTCTCCTGGGAACACCCAAGAGGCTCATCTGCAATTATTATTGAAACGCTCATCTAGACCTATTATTAGCATGGAAAAATATATAAGTCAATTTTAACTCTCTGTATTACCAGACCTTGAATTTAAGTAAGTTAAACATATACTAACTGCTTACTATGCAGGCACTTTTCTTAGCTCACTAAGAAATATATTCTCATTAAATTCTCACACCAACACTAAGAAGTTAGGACTTTCATTATCTGAAGTTCAGAGGTGAAGCAGCTTTCCCAATATCACCCATTTACGAATTGGCATGCTGGGATTTGAGTCTGAATCTGGAGCCTAAACTTTTAACGGCAACACAGACCAACTTCAACCATGTCAGAACGCGGTAACAAAAACGCACACATACTGACCAATCTTTGTTCTGGAACCTGAGATAACCCAAGTTTTAAAAATTGCATTCACTGTTTGTAGAGCCACCTACAATTTTCTGCTTTGCTTCCAAATGTATAATCACGGCTAAAAGGCAAACAAAACCATTTGACCAAATAAAGGTATTTATTTCACATAGTAGGGAAAGCATCAAATCCTCAGTGTCATCCATTTGACGGTGCTGGTTTACAAACTGTTTTGTTACTGGTTCGAGATAAACACAGAAAGTAAGAGTAAACGCTGACAAACTTTCATAGCAAGTTACTTTGTGATGATACTCAAGTACACGATTGCGTATTTTCCAAAAAGACTGAGCTGCGATGGCGTGGAAATAAAACGGACCTTCGTCACAGAGAGCTCAGCAAGCACTGGCTGGCAGACTGCGGCCCGCCAGCCCCCCAGGCGCTGTCCAGGCTGGGAGCACATACTGTCTGTGAGAGAAAGGCTCCTACAGACCAACATTTAAAATCAACTTCATAATAAGGAACACTAATTTTGGACTTCAGTGAAGAGACATGATAACTTCCCTTCCCCCTCTAAAGAATTTCATTTTTATTACCATATTTAAAAATTATACTAAATTATTATATTTTACATTTTGTCAATAAAAATGTCTGAAGATTAGTTTTCTCTCTTCTTATAGAAGTAATATTCTCAGTGTTACCTCTCATTTTGCAAAAACTAACATAGTTTTTCTCTGGCCCTTTACAGAAAACGTTTGCTGACTCTTGCTTTAGCACACACAATACTGGTTGGCAGAAAGCAAGGTTCAAAAATTGCATGTGTATGTGCAGATGCGTTTACCTAGTTAAGTAACTGATTCCCCCCCCCCCCACAAGCACAGATTTTTCCAGCAAACTACCTGGAGATTTTCAGTTCACAGATGCAGCCTGAAACTCCCCCACTACAACAAGTCATAATACTAACTCGGTTGCGGCAGCTGCTGCTGTTGAGTACTGGGCCTGTGTTCTTGGCAGCGCGGGGCGGGGGTGGGGGGTGGGGTGGGGGGGCATTTCCTCCCGCCCTACCTGAGAAAGCCCCATTTCCGTCTGCCACCCAAGCGACAGCCATACCCTAGATCTGGAGTGACACTTTTAGTTTGCAGACCTCCACAGTGACCATAAATGAACCCTGAAGTTCATGATTTTTTGCCTGTTACCCAAAAAGACCTTTGTATACTTACGTATACAGTGTAAATGCTTGATAAATACTCGTTGATTCTTAATAAACCATAGAAATGCTAATAGATCGAGCATGTCTAGGACTTTTAATCTTGAGCCTATTCCTTCTAGACTTTCCGGGCTACCTTAAACTTTTGCCACAAAGGCTTTATTATATCTTTGGATGTGAACCTCATTTCAGATACAAGTGTGTTATATAGTTCCCAAGCTCGGGGGTCTGAATGGATTCTAAAACATGAGTCAAATTTACTTGTGAGATATTTCAATGCAGTTATAAGATTACCGTCATGTCTATTAAATGATGCTTTTACTGCCATGAGTTGAAAGAGTCTTCAGATAATAAAGTAATACTTTGATCTAAAATTTTAATAATTTCATGCAGTGGCTTTTCAAAGCTAGTATGATAAAATTGACAGAAAAAAATGCCTATTACAAATATATAATAATAATGTGGGCAATAGAAAAGATAACAATTAATACTCCAATATTTAATGCTACTTTAACTAAATCAATATATTCACTCTCAAATGCAGAACACTGCGCCTCTTCTTTCTTCAAAACTGAACATGATCTGAAAATTCAGCAATATAGAACAAAAGTATGACTTGCTCATCATTCTCCAAATTCTTAAATACTAAGAGAAACAACAAATGTGTTATTTTTATTCTTCAGGGTTGAAAGACATCTATGTTTCTCAGATAAAAATTTAAAAAAGACATCCAGCATTTACTATTTCATACCTCTAAAATTCCTTTTCTTTTCTTTTCTTCATTGTCTGTGAATCCACTTATTATTTGGTAACAGTCTTTACAAACTTTGCTCAATTTCCCGCCATCATACTCCAGCTGAGCTTTGTAATCAGAACACTTCCAACAAACCACCTCAAAAAAGAAAAGGTAAGGAAGCATGAAAAATCACATTGAAAGAATAGTAAGATTTAAGCCATAAACATTTATAATGATCATAAATGAGAAAGAGTTCTATATAAAAAGCAAATTTTTATGACACTAAGAATATCCCCGTGAACATGAGGACTATTTGCCATAGCACTACCATGCTGTTTGTGATGGGCTATGCTTGCTTACCCTCTTCTTTCTGACCGCGCTAAAGGCAGGACATCTTCAAAGGCGTGACCCAGACCTTTCCTCTGCCCACCTCTGGAGGTCTCATTCATGTGTCTTCCCAAAATGAACTCGTGACCTCCCCTGCCCTCAGAGCGCTCCCTCTCCACCCCACTTCCCAATCTGTCCCTCCTCCCTGTGCTCCCCATAGCAGGAGATGGCACAGCCATCTAACCAGTCCCGGCAGGTCATAAACCCAGGGTCACTCCCAACTCCTCGCTATAGCTCACCCTATAGTCATCACATCGCAAAGTGCAACTGGTTGTTACCTCCTAGACAGTTTTTCCATCTGTTTATTTTTCTGCATCTCCTTTGCAATGACCCAAGTTCAAAAGTTATCAGTGTCCTAGTTTGGACGATTATAACTTCCTCGTAGCAATATGACTGCCTGGCCTCTAGGCCTCTACTCCTACATCCCTCTGAGCTATTTTTCAAATAACACCAGATAATCTCTTAAAATCCTAATCTGATCTGTTTCTCCTCTATTTAAAACCCTGTGTCTTCCCTTTGTTGTTGGATGATGAACACATTCTTAACCATGGCCCACAGTCCTGCATGATCTGCCCATCTCACCCTCGGTATCCTTGGTGGCACTGGCTTCTAGCCCCTCAAGTGCTATGCTCCCTCCCTTCTCATCTCTGCTCCGTGAGTCAACTGTTGTTCGTCCTTCAGAGACTGAGTCAACATTTTATTTCTTTAAGGAAGACTCTTCCGACTTCCAGAGTAGAGCATGTCTCTCATCACCGTGCTACTGAAGTTCCCTGTGCTTTCTCATGTACTGATCACAGGTCATAATGACACACACCCGTGGGATTATTGGATTCATGTTTGTTGCCCTGACTAGGCTGTAAGCTTTATGAGACTGTCCTTGTACATTTTGCTCACCAGCACACAAGAAGCATTTATAGAATGCCAAAAAGTAAATAACGATAATGAAAATACACATTATTTCTTAGTGAATAATATTTATTCCTAATTATGATAGGGTAATTTTTATTTTTAAAAAAACCTTCCACTTGAAAAAATTACCTTGTTGCTTCTAGAAGCAATTTTTTTCCCAACTCATACATAGTAAATGAACTTTATTTACTTAAATATTTGTAAAACTTTTGATTTAGGTTCACAGTGTATAAAGTTTCATAATAAATATTCATGGTTTTCTCATAATTACAATGAAATTAGTAGGATTTAGAATAAGACATGTCTATAACTATAAATTCCAATTAACTAATATCTTATTTTTAAATCATATCATAGTATTTTGATGATCCACATTCAAACACATTTTTGTTTGTCGAACCAAGTATGTCAATACCTAGAATCACCTCAAGTAAACTCAATGATAGATTTTAAAAAGTCTTACCTTGGGCAGGGGGTGATGTCTGCTATCAATTTAAATTTGACTACAAATCTGTCTTGCTGAGTAGCAACTTAGGAAAAGAGGAAGAATAAATCTATAGCATGACAATAAGCTAAAAGAGCTATCAGTAGGAACTGTTGCCCTGACCAGCGTTGGCTCAGTGGATTGGGCATCGTCCAGCAAACTGAAAGGCCGCGGGTTTGATTCCCGGTCAGGGCACATGCCTGGGTTTCGGGCCAGGTCCCCAGCTGAGAGTGTGCAAGAGGCAACCAATCAATGTCTCTCTCTCACATCCATGTTTCTCTCCCTCTATCTCTCCCTCCCTTCCCCCTCTCCAAAAATAAATAAAGTCTTTAAAAAAAGAACTCTTGCACCGAAGCACACTAATAATATATTACATCATTACACTGCAATGCACACCCTTCTCTGTTTATTTGTTGTTTCTTAGAAGAAAGTATAGAATCTACAACTGGGTCCACAAGGCCCTCCAAATCCTGCTGCTACCTCTCCCCGGCTTCCCTTCACACTTTGTCCCTCATCGTTCTTTCCGTATGAAACAACTCCAAGGCCGAAAACCTGTTAATGTGCCTTCTCTGGCTTCAGTGGATGAGTTTTCTTAGAGAAACAGCACTGCCATCAAACGGACTAGCGTATCCTTCTATATTCACAACCATAACCTCTACCAGGCACCCAGCGCTCCTCCCGTGTTCCTCTGACAGGCTCATTTGTCCCCGCCCAGAGACAACTATTGGATACTTAGGCCTCTTTCTCAAATCTCCCCCACCTTTCTCCCCTCCCCTGCACGGTCAGCTGACGACATATTCCCCGTACTCCACAGACAAACACCTGTCCCCGGGCCTGCGTTCCCTCGCACACGCCCACCACCAGATCGCACACGCCCGCAACTGCGGCCACCCGCGTTTTCCCTTTCTATTACAACGGAGGGAGGTTTCCCTCTCTTCACCAAAAGCCCGAACTTCTGCTTATGCTAACAGGTCCTATTTTCTCAAAGCCATCCACTACTTTGGTTACCATCTCTCTATTTTTTTCTGCTATACTTCACCTTGCTGCACACGACCTTTTGGCAGTCTCAGGAAAAGACTACGCTCTTGCCTACCCTAAGGCCTGGGTCCCACCGCCTCTCACCGCCCGGACGCACGCCCCACCTCCCTTCTCGGGGCTGGCTCCCTGTCACTGTCTGGGCGTCTGCTGAAATATCGACCCCTCAGATAGGTCTACATTTTTCTAACTGAAAGCTGTTCCAAATCCTCCTTCCTAACCTTTATTCTCCATTTTGAACTGCCCGATTGCCTCCTTGCTGCATTTATAGTAATTCGAAATGCTTATCTGTCCAAGGACCTGACTTTGGTCTACCTTCTCCGCTAGAACGTGAGCTACATGAAGCTGGGCACACACCATTTTTTTTCTCCAGGCCCAAGCACAGTGCTTAGTACATACTTGTCACTAAAATAAGTTTGTCAATGAAGTGCTTTACTGAATGAGTGTTTGGATTTTTTCCGACTTGATGACTTCACAGTACCTGTAAGAGGTACTGGCAATCTTAATGACCAAGAAACCTCACTTACATGTCCACACGCTCTACAATGGTGCCTTCTCCTTGTCAGTGCATTGAAGGACTCTTTACATTTCATACACATCGTTACTTCATTATCTCGGATCCATCTTGGGGCTCTTTTCCCTAGCTCGGCAGTCTGAAAAGGAGAAAGAGACTCAATTTTAACCCTTCCTTTCTCCCTCCCTTCCTTCTTCCTTTCCTCCCCCTCTTCCTTTCTTCCTAAAAAGCTCTTAACAACATTGCTCACACCATGTTCTGGCTGAGCAAAGTAAAAGGTTCAAAGAAGTTTCAGCAGTATAAAAAAGACACTCACTATTATATTCGTCTAAGAAGGAATGAGAGTCTGTCTAAATGGCCAGTTTGGGCATCGAGAATGAAAGAGGCTGGCGAACAAAATGAGCAGGAAGATCCTTCGGTAAATGCAAATAGCAAAGACCTTAAAGTTAAGAATTTACTTCAACTTACAGAAACCTCGGACTGACTGTCATTGTCCTTTGCAATCGCATTTCTGAAGGTTTCATGCCTCTGATGGAAAGCATCAATAGTCTCTTGAAGGGCCTAAAATGTCAGTAAAATTCAAAGCACACATTAAAGTATCACATGCATATTAATGAAAAAACTTTATTAAACAGATATCTATGATGGGAATCACCTTAACAATTAAATGACCTTGACCCAATGATTATATGTGCACAACACAACATCTGCACATTTGTGTACAAAGACAGAGGTTACAAAAAAAGGAAGATAAAAAAAGAAGTAAGGTTTACCTTGATCCACTCTTCTTTATCTTGTTCAGAACTAAAACAAAACAAAATTAAACTGAATGCAGAGACCATTAATTACACCTGGTGACTAAAACTATGTTTTATTATTATTTTTAACCATTTTATTGTTGTTCAAGTACAGTTGTCTGCATTTACCCCCCACCCATCATCCCCACCTCCCGCCCCTGCTTCCAGCCACCCCCCCCCACACTGCCCCCCACCCCCGGTTTTGTCCATGTGTCCTTTATAGTTGTTCCTGAAAAACTATGTTTTAATGTTGTTCCAACTTTCTGGAAAATTCAGGGATGTCCAAGAAGTAACCATCAAAATTACACAGAAACTCTGGCAATTGAACGAATAATTTCTTGAACAGAGTTTTAGACCATCCACTTACAGCAGCGCACGTAATTTTTGATGGGGAGATATAAGTTTAGCTTTTATAATACACTACCCTGACATTAAATTTAACAACCATCATCTATTCATAGACACTAAGCAACTCTGTAGATCTAGCATTCTACTGGATATATGTGCAACTAGTCTGCCAATTGACCTTTGTAAAAACAGATGAGGCTTTTATAGGCTATTAGTCACAGCTCATCTTAATAAAGATTATAATTAGTCTCGAGAACATAATACATCTTTATATGGCTTTGCAGAGACATTGTAACATTTCCTTTGATAAACAATTTAGTTTTATCTTGCTACAAGGCTTCAGGCAATACCAAACCTAAATGATTAAACAAAAGAAAAGATTGTTTAAATTATTTTATTTATTTATTTTTAGACAGAGGGGAAGGGAGAAAGAGGAACATCAAGTTGTGGTTGCCTTTTGAGCGTCACCTACTGGAGACCTGGCCCACAACCCAGGTATGAAACCTGACTGGGAATCAAACCAGTGAGTGACCCTTTGATTCACAGGCCAGCACTCAATACACTGAACCACACCCACCAGGGCACAAAACAAAAGTTTTAAATGCCTGTAGGAAGTTTCACAGATTAATGGACCCCAGTATTTAATAGTTTTTCTGTTGGAAAAAATTCTCTTGACTATAGTCAAGTCCCCTGTTTGCCTGTGGAGGCAAATTTTCTATATTTCATCTCCCTGATATGTAGCTTCTGTAGCTCATCCATATACTATATGAGAAAAATCCCCTTTAGCAGATTTTGGACTAAGATCTCAAAATTGAGGGATTTTGAAGACTGTCTGCATGGGCCTGATAGGCTGAGGCGATGTTTGAATTCCAGGCTGTACGTCATGTGCCTTGGCCCCACAGGGATCGTGTATGTATCAGTCTGGCGGGAGGTTCAATCTGGTGACATTGTCCATCTCCCCAAGTATTGAGCACTGCAATGGGCCGGGAGTACTGCTGGAATCTGTGCCTGTCAGATGAACAATTCTGCTTGTTGTTGACCTGCAGACAATTGGAGCAGGGTGGCGGGCTTCCATCTCTTCTCTCAAGAAAGATTTCTCCCTGTTGCCATGCCCTGCCCCCACAAAATCAGCTCTACTGCCCTGAAAGCGGACTTATGGCTGACTGCCCTTCAAAAGCCGAAGAAACCTGAAGTCTTTAATGTTTTTGACTTACTCTTTCGTTGAATCTACTTATCACTATATTTTTATATTCTTATAGCAATCAAAAGCCACTGAATAAAAACTACAGAAAACAGGAATGCTTTATATTCTTTAAAAATATTTTATTTATTTTTAGAGAGGGGGGAAAGGAGAGAGAGAGGGAAAGAAATATTAATGTGTGGTTGCCTCTCACATGCCCCCAAATGGGGACTTGGCCTGCAACCCAGGCATGTGCCCTGACTGGGAATGGAACCAGCGACTTTTTGCTTTGTAGTCTGGCTCTCAATCAATTGAGCCACATCAGCCAGGGCTTTATATTCTTTTGAACATGGAAGAATGCACAGAGTATAAGAGGTCAGTCTTGAGGCTGACTCATTGAGCAAAAAAAGCAGAACTCTTTTTTCTCAGGTGGCTTCAGAAGTGAATTATCTTGAAATATCTCCAAACACATACCCAATTTTGGTTTTCATGCTATCCCACTAACATTCCAACACTCTGAATGTCTCCGTTCTTGAGAGTCCTCGTACACTCCAGTCCCGCCCCACCATCTGTCCGCAGTTCCCACTGGGCCGGGCCCGGAGGGCCCTATGGCAGCCGTGAGTGCGCTGGCCTCTCACCCCCTGAACAGCTCCCTGGGTGAACAGGCCGCTGGGGACCCACAGCCCACAGGCTGCTCTGCTGGCCTCCTGCTCCCACTGAGGGCCCCGCCCCTTGCCCCCTCTACTGCCCTTGCACCTGTGTTCCCTGTAGGGACACCGAGGTTGTGCCCTGAGCCTCTGTGGGAGACTTAGTGACATGGGCTGCACTGGAGAAGGGTCCAGTACTTAAACCATGGGACACCTGGCCTCCAGCACTGATATCCCCTCGGGCCCTCCTCCATGGACCCGCAGGTGGGCTGGGGTGAGGGGGTAACCACTTAATTTCGATCTTCAGTTTACCATATTATCATATATATAACTAGAGCAATGAAATCAGGGGAATAAAAAATTAAGGAAAGTGACCATGCTTCCATATTAATTAGAATATACCCAAAGCTGCGTATTGGAACTCTACAAAGTGATGACTACTTGTACTTCAGAAAATTCTTCATGAATCAGCCCCACCCTAAAGAGAAAACAGCCCAACCTGGTATATAGGGGGGCTGGAGTCCCCGCTTGGACAACCCAAGAAACCCCAAGAATCTTCTGCTCTTCAGACGCTCATCCCGGGTGTGCGGATTCAAAAGCTGGTATTTCAGGGCCAGCAGCTCTGCAAATTCTGCGATGGAGCCTTCCCCAATGATTGCAGAGAAATCTCAAATAAACAACCTAACCCTACATCTAAAGGGACCAGAGGGGTGACACCAAACAAAGCCCAGAGCAAGCAGAAGGAAGGAAATAATCAAGATCAGAGCAGAATTAAATGACAGAGACTAAAATAACAATTCAAAAGGTCAGTGAATCCAGGAGCTGATTCTTCGAAAAGATAAACAAAATGGACAAACTGTGAACCAGACTTCCCCAAGGAAAAAAGAAAGAGGACCCAAATAAATAAAATCAGAAATGAAAGAGGAGAAGTAACAACTGATACCACAAATACAAAGGATTATAAGAAATGTCCTAACTGGTTTGGCTCAGTGAATTGAGTACCAGCCTGTGAACTGAAAGGTCGCTGGTTCAATTCCCAGTCCGGGTACATGCCTGGGTTGTGGGCCAGGTCCCCACTTAAGGTCACGTGAGAGACTGCTGACTGAGATGTTTCTCTGGCACATAATATTTCTCTCCCTCTCTTTCTCCTTCCCTTCTCCTCTCTCTAAAAATAAATGAATAAATAAATCTTGAAATAAAAAGGAAATTACTATGAACAACTATATGTCAAGAGACTGGGCAATGTGGGTGACATGGATACATTTCCAGAAACGTATAGTCTTCCAAAATTCAATCAAGAGGAAGCAGAAAACCTGAATGGACCGATAACAACTAGCAAAACCAAGGCAGTAATCAAAAAACTACTGGCACACAAAAGCCCCGGACCAGATGGCTTCACAGGTGAATTTTTACCAAATATTCAAAGAAACATTAACACCTATCCATCTCAACCTATTCCAAAAAGTGCAAGTAGAGGAAAGGCTGCCAAACTCTTTTACAAGGCCAGTATTATCCTAATCCCCAAACCAGGTAAAGACACAACAATGAAGGCAAGTTACGGGCCAATGTTTCTGATGAACGTAGATGCTATAATGCTCAACAAAATACTAGCACACTGGCTCCAACAATACATTAAAAAATCATATACCATGATCACATGGGATTTATTCCAGGGATGCAAGGATGATAAAATATTTGCAAATCAATAAATGTGGTAACATTGCACAAATCAAATGAAAGACAAAAATCACATGATCATATCAATAGATCCTGAAAGAGCTTTTGATAAAATTCAGCACCTACTTATGATAAAAACATTTAGCAAAGTGGGAATAGAGGGAGCACAGCTCAATACAATAAAGGCCACATACGAGAAACCTACTGCCAATGTCATACTCAATGGACAAAAAATAAAAGCGTTTCCCTGAAGACCAGGAACGAGACAAGAGCGTCTACTTTCACCACTCTTATTCAACATAGTACTGGACATCCCAGCCACAGTAACCAGATGCAAGGAAGAAAAAGGCATCCAAAATGTAAAGGAGGAAGTAAAACTGTCATTATTTGCAGATGACATGATAGTGCACATAGAAAACCCTACAGACTCCACCAAAAAAACTACCCGACCTAATAGGTGATTTCAGCAAAGTAGTGAAATACAAAGTCAATATTCAGAATCAATGGCATTTTTGTGCACCAGCCAGGAAGTACCAGAAAGAGAAGTTAAGAAAAAAATCCTGTTACTATAGCAATAACAACAACAAAAATTTCAAATATCCCATGTAGCAATATTTTTGCAATATATCTTAGAGGACAAAGGAAATAAAGGAAAAATAAACAAATGGGACTACGTCAAATTAAAAAGCTTCTGCGTGGCTAAAGAAACAATGACCGAAATGGAAAGGGAATCACGTGGGAGAACAGATTGGCCGATGACACAATGGACAACGGTTTCATCTCCAAAATATGTAAGAGCTCACATGACTCCACTCCAGGAGGACAAACAACCCAGTTAAAAAATGAGCAGAAGACCTGCCTGAAAAGACCCTTCTTCAAGAAGGACATACAGAGGGCCCAGAAACATATGAAAAGATGCTCAGCATCACTCGTCATCAGGGAGATGCATATTAAAACCACAATGAGATACCACCTCACACCTGTCAGATTGGCCATCATTAATAAATCAACAAACAACAAGTGCTGCGAGGATGTGGAGAAAAGGGAACCCTAATACACTGTTGGTGAGAATGCAGACCGGTGCAGCCACTGTGGAAAACGGTATGGAATTTCCTCAAAAAATTAAAAATGAAACTACCTTTGGACCCAGCAATTCCATTGCAGAGAATATACCCTAAGAATCCTGAAACACCTAATCAAAACAACTTACACGCCTCTGTGTTCATAGCGGCGCTACCAACAACAATCAAGTGCTAGAAACAGTCTACGTGTCCATCAGTAGATGAACTGATTAAAAACGGGGGCAGATTTACACAATGCAGCAGAAAGAAAGAAGTAGGAATTCCTATGTTTTGCGATAGCATGAATAGAACTGTAGACTATTATGCTAAGTGAAATAGGCCAGGTAGTGAAAGATGAATACCATATGATCTCACTTATGAGAGGAATCAAATAAACAAAACAGAACCAGAGACATGGAAACAGGGAACAGACTGACCGCTGCCAGAGGGGAAGGGGAGGGGGAAGGGTGGTAAGAAGGGGAAAGGTTTAGTCGAAGAACATGTATGAATGACCCACGGACATGGACAACAGTGTGGGGATGGACTACAGGAGAGGGGGTGGGCTGGGTGGAGGAGGGCAAAGGGAGAAGAAATACTGGGACAACTGTAGTAGAATAATGAAGAATAAAAAGTTTAAAAAAAAAGACCTCTAATGATGAGAACTATAGCATAGTCTTCCTTGTTGCCAGGTCCAATCACTCAGTGAGTCAATGAAATACATTTTTCTCTTGGGTTTGATGGCTGGGGCCCAAACCCCACATGACATGGTAGAAAAACCATGATACTCAAAGCCAAGCCCTCCAGCGTTTTAACTCAGGCTTGAGACGCCACCTTGGAATCCTTAGAGCAGTCTCTCTGCAGCCTGTTACATCTCTCGCAACTGGGATTTCGCCAGTTCCTGACTGCCAGGGCACTGCTTCCTGCTAAAACGGTTTATTCTCTTTTGAGAGCCTGAAGGTCTTATGCAATTTCTAAGTGCTAATATCCAGGATAAATTCACCTGCTAGAACCACAAGCTATTGGCACAAAGCAACAGAAAAGAGCCCTCTGACTCGCCACAGATTCTAGGGTATCAGAACCATGAGGCCTGGGACTGGCACTTAACACTCTGACCTGTGACTTTCTGGAGTATCCCCATTCTCACCATGCCAGGCCTTCATAGGATAAATGAAGAACAGTCTTACTAAAGCAGGTATTTCGAAGCCCGACAGCAATCTGTCCTTCAGTGTAGTTCATACAAGAGGTAGCTGTGATCCACTACAGCGGCTGTCATGTTTTTTGCTTTTCCAGACATGGTTATGCTGGGGGTGGGGTGGGGGGGGCGCGGTGCTGGAACTCCAGCCCTTTCTCCCCCATTCAGTGAAGCATGTAAGAAGTCCTACTTGCTAGAGGCCCAAACGGCCTCCTTGGTGTACCCTCCAATGGCAGCAAGAAGATCATCACCTTTTCCACCCTGCCTCCTCCAAACACTCCCCCCATCAAAGTGTCATTAAGTCCCATCAATGCAGAGCCTCTGACAGACTGAGTGTTAAACTTCATCATTTAGCATGGAATGATAAGCATCAATAAACCTTTGTGGACCAAAGGAAGGATAGAGGGAAAAAGGGTTAGAGGAGAACCTTTTCCTACAAAGACTCAAAACTTGGCTTCAATGCAACTTCATTCTCTGAGCACCTTGTATATACATCTAAAGAGTAAATATAGTTTACTGAATGCTTACTTCTGAAAACAACTATACTAGGCACTGTAGAGGAATCAGAAGGGAGGACAACATTCCTGCTTTTTAAGAGCTTCCATCTCTCCGCTATGTCCAAGCAGAGCTGTAGAGGTCTGCAGCATTCATTCACTTGCCAAAGATCCTCAGAATTATTCTACTCTACAGTTGAGTCTGCTGCTTTTGAAAGCTATGTGACAGAAATGATTCTCTTACCTGGCTTGCAATTCCAGTGTCCTCTCTTTCCCAGACACCTGGAAAGTGTGTGGGTATTCCTCATTGTGAGTCTCTACAATCTGCATTCCATCTATGCCAACCCTGGTTCGAACTGTGAATTTAGAGCCCACCAAGCTGAATCTTGGCACACAGTACAGCAACATGTTGTTGAACTGCAAGGAGGCAGAACACATATCAATAATAGGAAAACAAAGAAGAAAGTGACCAAAGGAGCCTTAGACAGTATTCCAAGGACTTCCCAAGGAGTATCATACTTTCCATATGAGCAAAATTATTTAAAGACTACATTGAGATTTTATGCTTGTACCAAAATTATCATATTAAAATTCATAGCATACACTTCTCTTTGATGGTTCATAAGTACTTTACTGGTATTTAAATAAACCAATCCTCATTTTGTATTATTAAAGAAATTAATTCAATTAAATTCAGCAATAATTTATTAGGAACCTTCCATATGCCAGCAACTGAAGTCCTCGACTCATAAAACTGAAGCACTTAACCAACAAAATTTCTAACTGTGTCTCAGAGACAGCAACTCTGTCACAGCTGTAGAAGGAAAGAGTAGTATTTAGCAATTATTTTTATCAGTGTGTTTAATATTAAATTAGTATATAGCCAAAATTATTAGTTTAAATTTTATTCAAACATGTGGGGTTAGCATATTAACTCTGTAAAAAAACTAAGCCATTGTTTTATACTGACCCATATCACACTTAAGGATTTGTCCTGTGTAAAAGAACAGAAAAGTCATCTATTTTAGCAAAATGTCTTTAAAATAGTCTTTATAAAATCTCCTTTAAAATTTTTACTTATTGGTTTTAGAGGGAGAGAGAAAGGAAGAGAGAAACACTGAATTGTTGCCCCATTTACTATATAATTCTTTGGTTGATTCTTGTATGTACCCTGACCAGGAACTGAACCCATAACCTTGGCACATAAGGACAATGCTCCAACCAAATTAGCTACTCAGCCAGAGCTTTATAAGATTTACCTTCAAAATGAAAAACTTTATCTTGAACCTGAATCAAATTTTGTGTAATGCCTCATTCCTAGGCAACAATTAGCAGCTCCAGCTTATCAGACCCAAGCAATGATTTGGGGAGGGCATTTAATCCTTTTGAATGTAATAAAACATGCAAAAGGGATGAAAGGGTCTAAATATTTGGGTTAATTCATAGGCAGACTCCTAAATAAGGTCCACACTTACATTCCTCCTTCATATTTATTGTTTCCAGGGTCACATATGTTTTTCAAAGACCAGAGCAACTGGGGACTTAGCTCCTATTCACAATGTAACCTCGCACGACTCAGGATCTTTATCTGTAACAGTTACAGGCTGTTGACAGAATTAAATGAGGAGAAATGTCTTGTTCTGCCAGGTCCTCTGTTTGGCTCCGCAGGGCCAGAAAGACAAGAAATGGTGATGGATATTTAAAGACATTTCAACAGGTTTTCAGGATATCGTGTACTGCACTCATTCTGAAAGCAAACTTCTCACCAGCTGTTCCTCATACCTTATTTTGCAACTTCCTGTAACCAGTGTCAGAAATTTCATTTCCACAAGTGGATAATGTAGAAACAAAAGGACACAAGTACATTCTATCAGATGTATCTCAACAGCACATTTCACATTTACCTTTCTAGAAATGAACACTAACATGTCTGCAGTATTTGAACTACAGCAATCAGAGCCTCAAAATTGTAGTAGTTAGGACTTAGAGATTTGAAAGTGCACTGAAAGGTTCTCAGCACCATCGCGTGCTGATTAAGGCAACAGCTTGCCTGCTACCTGTCCGTGTTAACATCGCTTTCTCTTGTTTATCACGGCCCTCTTGTGTGGGCCTTCGGTCAAGGCTGTGGGTGGTTCAGGACCAGCTGCCACACTACCACCCAAGGGGACAGGCCTCACACTCTAAAGAGTGCAATAACCACCAATTTTTCCTGCAAACTGAGTGACAAATGAGATGTTCTGGCATAAAATTTCTGAGTTATCTGATATTTGTACTCAAGTTCATTTTATAAAGGTCAGCAAAGTCTTGTTATTTTATGGAAACACAAGTGAATATGGAAGTTCTCAGCATTTGTTGTTTGTTTGTTTTTTTAATCTTCACCCAAGAACATTTTTTCATTGCTTTCAGAGAGGGAAGGTAGGGTGGGAAGAGGGAGAGAAAGAGAGAGACAAACACCAATGTAACAGAGAAACATAGATTGGTTGCCTCTTGTATGCTCCCAGACCAAGGACTGAACACACAACCTAGGCACATGTCCTAACCAGTAATCAAACTGGTAAACTTGCTTAAGGGGCTGTGTTCCAACCAAGCCACACTGGCTAGGGCAGCACTCACTTTTTGTAGTTATGCTCATACAAGGTGAGAGACAATCTTATAATAAATGATACATTTCTCTTTCCCTTTCATGCTTTCAGGGTTACATTTCCCCTGTCATCTTCTTCCTAAGTGGAACTTCACGTTCCAAACTGTCATTAACTATATATTCACTTTTTAATGTATAGGTCAGAATCTAATGCTAGTAATAAGTACCCCTTTTCTTCTTCCTGTTGGCAAAGGTGAGAGCTCTTGAAGGACATAAAATACTGCGTACACAGAAGTAGATGGCATATGCATAAAGGAATTAGGTAGCTAGTCCTGCTCCCTCTGTGAACCTTGTTCTTGTGGCGAAAGCCACGGTCGCCTCGCTGGGTTTCCTCTGGTACTAAAAAAGGAAGTTAGAGCAACTGTAACTCCTAGTAGATCCATTTTCCTTTTCGGTGTAGGAGGTTCCATTTACTCCACGCGCAGAGCTCGGAAGTAGATGCTGACAAAGCAACCCTGGGCTGGCGAGACAAGCTCTGGAAGTGCTGGGCTGTGCCAAAACCTAGAGGCAACTCTCAGCTTCCTTCAAAGTGCAGGGAAGTCTGTCGCTCTTGATCTCTAGTGTTCCTCCATGATGGATTTGAGGTTTCTTAAAATATATTTATTTGAATGAAATAATTCAATTTGGTGTCTCACTGGAGTTTGTTTTTGAAGGTAAAAGTCCATTGTCGGAGCAATTGCCAGAGCCAGGTCTGTATTCAAAGGAAAAAAAAATCTAAACCTGTCAAGCTACAAGGAAGTAAGAAATAGATCTCCAAAGGGTCAAGCATAAAACACCTTTGGGCCATTCTACAGGGTAATCTGCTGGGGGTTTTCTAACTTTCAGATGTCCAGCATGCTTATTCACTTAACAGAACACCCTGCTACCGACATATTTTTAAAAAATGGTGTGGAGGCAAGCAAATTTGCAAACACATGAAGACTTGAAAGCCAAAAGTGGATTCTAAACATAATTTGGATTTTCAGACAAATGTAATATCCCCAGACTAGGAAACAGAAAACTAGCCCTCATGTTCTATCTAGAGAGAAAGGGAAATAAAAATGGTACTTCTGAAGTTTCTGCGGATGAAAAAACGAAGATGCTCTATGGGGATAAAATGTGCCGGTCGGAGGAGAGAGTCTGAGACGAGCACAGCATTAGAGGGGGGTAGTTAGCAGAGTGAACACTACAGGAAATGCTTCTGAGATGGTCTGCCAAAAATGAATGTGGCTTTCCTAAAATTCCTGCTCTGTGACTTTATTCTCCCGGCAGGCAACGGCATCGTGAGATGTTTGAGAGCTTCTGACGACTGGAACGAGATGGGTCCTTGCCCCCAAGTTACTGCTGCTGTATTTCCCCCCAAGGCTCTTGCCACCTATCCTCCTACTGGCTGCTTCCTTTGGGTCTCCATCAAGGTGTGCAACCTGAAACTACTTCCAGAACGATTCTCCAGTGTGGAAATTAAACTGGTTGATTAAATTGGTTAAAAGTTCACCTGTAGAAACTATAACACTAATGCGGAAGAGGGGGCAGAAAATGACCTAAGCACCTAAAGGCAGGGCAACAACAATGGGAAGACATGGACTTAGGCATTTCCCCCCAAAGAATGTATTATGTATGTCTTTTTTTTAGATTTTACTTATTTTTGGAAAGAGGGGAAAGGAGAAAGAGAGGGAGAGAAACATCAGTGTGTGGTTGCCTCTCACACACCCCTTACTGGGGACCTGGCCTGCAACCCAGGCATGTGCCCTGACTGGGAATTGAACCAGTGATTGTTTGGTTCACAGGCCAGCACTCAATCTACTGAGCCACATCAGCCAGGGCTGTATGTCTTCTTAATCTGTGTTTTTGACTTTTTGGGACCTTGCTGACACTGGATGAATGGCCCCTCTCAGGGTCACCCAATTCCCAGAGACAGTAAATGACTCACCTGCCAGCACACCTTTCATTTGAAACCTACCTGTGCAGAGCCCACACACCTCAACCACCTCACCCAAGGATATGCTTACTGATGAGAGAGAGAGAGAAAGAGAGAGAGAGAGAGACGCTGACTGGTTACCTCCCGTACATGCCCTGATCGAGGATGGAACCTGCCACCTAGGTATGTGCCTCTGACGGGGGATCGAGCCTGCAACAATTTTGGTTCAGGAGAGCACACTCCAACCACCTGAGCCACCGGGCAGGGAGCGTAGTTTATTCCTTTTTACTGGCACATCATAGTGCCCTGCATGGGCATACCACAACTTGATTGCCAGTCATAAACTCATGAACATTCAGGTTGTTTCCGCTTTTTGGCTGGCATGCATAATTTTGCTATGAACATTCACATACAAGTTTTGAGTAGATACATGTTTCCAATTTTCTTGAGTTATACTAACTTGCAGTAGAAATGCTGGGTCATATGGTGACCATATGTTCTTTTTCAAAAATGAGGACACTCCTCTGCGTGACAATTAGTTTCTACAAATCCCCCTTTTAAGGGAAGCTGTAACCACACAACAGAAACTTCTAAGCCCCTGATGACAACTCATATTAGAGTGGTGAGGTGACTGCTTTGCAGCAGTCAAGTCAGATGTGAGCAACACCCCGAGGCTGGAATTGTGTGCCAGTTACTGGGCAGCCTCTTTTCCAATGTTTCTCTGTTTCTTTGTCTATAATCAATAATCCTAATAATGGCTAATATTTACTGAGCTATTACTCAGTGTTGGCTTATTGTTACTCAATGTTAGCTATTAGTATGATTTTCATTATATCATTGGATAAGAAAAGAGACTGGAATTACCAGTGACTAAAAATAAATAGCCTGGACACCCCAGGAAGAACTCTTGCATTTGAGATAAAAACCTTAGACTAATTGTCATTTCTAAGAAGTGAAGGAAGGGACAGGGACTGACTGCAGTGAAAGGGACCTATGTAGCAAACTTATGTGCTTTACACATTGTTATTCTAAGCACAAGTTTTCCAACGTTGCTTCTGTACTTCATACTAAAAAGATCAGACATAGTGGTGAGAGATGATTAAGGAGAGAACTGTCGTTAAGGAATAGTGTGTTGACCCAATTAATACCCAGGGAATGGTACCTTTCAGCCTGTAAGCATGAAAGAGAAAATCTGCAATAAGAAAAGGAGGATTCCAGAAAGCACATCATAGCCTGCACACACACTGACAGCTAACATCTTCGGGGAAAGGTTAAACTGTCTTCTGCATGTGTTACTGAAGTCAATTACACATGGCAAATACATAGAAAAATACTTCAAAGAAAGATTTGTGTCTTGAAAGAACATGAGATAGTTACTAAGGACATCTGTTCTTTTTGTGGAATGCTGGCCGTGGGGACTGCACCCAGTTAGCCACACGGAGAGCACCCTACTTACCCAGGACACACCTAACAATGCTCATAAATTACTCTTGTGTGACTTGCTCACACTGCAATACTCACTAAGAAAAGGTAGCGTTCTTGTGCTGAGGTGTTCCGAGCAGCTAGTTTAAGGATCTGTCCTTCTTTTATTAGTTCGTTTGAAGGGTTTACAATGTCTTCTTCTTCTCCCAACATTTCATAAATCTCTAAGAGTTTCTTTAGGTTCTCCTGGGAAATTAAAACAAAACACAGCAAGATCACATATGAGGAGGTTTCACCTTGGTGGCTTTAATGACACAGCAACCTTCAACCTTGGTTGGCTAAAATATGAAGAACTCAGAAGTGACTGTAACTAAGCCTAAACTCTGGCATACAATGCCAGTTATGAGGAAATTAAAACCTGGGAGAAGAGAAGATTATTACAGAAAACACCAAATAGGTTGCAAACATTTTTTTTGTCTATCTGTATCAATTCATTTTGATCCAAACCTGTAGATAATATTAGGCTATATTATTGACAATTATCTAACTAGAATATTACTATCTTCTCTGAAACATACTTACCATTTTTCTTATTGCACTATTAGAATGGCTTGCTGCTGTAGATATAATTTCAAGTGATTCTAAATGGGGGAAAAGAAAAGAAAATAAATATATGTTGTCCTTACTATGCTGCTAGATAGCTGAATAACACACTTCTCATTACAATAAGAAGAAATTGAGAAGAGAGAAAAAGTGGCAGAAATCTGAGACCAGAGATACACAATAAAAGCAGGGGCAATGTCTACTCATAAACTTCATACTTTCAAAAGTACACTTGTAACCACATCAATACTTGGAACTTGGAGGGCATTTCCTCATAAAAAATCAAATACAATGATTAGGCTTGCAGGCATATTTAATCCATAATGAAACTTTCAAAATTGACAAACACCATGTATACTAGCTTGGGACAAGGCGCTCAGCTCAGTGCTTTCATAGATATTAGGTCAATTATTTCTTCTACAACCCAGAATGGGAAGTATATTAGCTCCATTTGTCAGACGAAAGAACTGGAGAGTGATGTGCCTTGTATACGGTCACACAAGTAGGAGACGAAAGGGTCACATGTGAACCTAAGACTTCTGGCCCAAATTCCTATAGCATGTCAGTAGCATTATTTTATTCATTTTTATGAGCAATGTAACCACCAAGCTTAACCACCTTTCTTTGGGAAAAACAGCCACGGCTCCAGCCTCAGCCAGATGAAAGAGAATCTTCTGACACCAATGCAGATGGAGGGATTTGTTACTGGGTGGGTGGCGGCAAGACACAGGAAAGGTAACTCCTGGAATGAGGGAGGTAGGGGCTCCTGGACCACTGGCGAAGCTGTGAAAGCTGAGGCCTCCTGCCGGCTGGACCCAGGGAACGCTCTCACCCCTAAATGAAGCCCCCCTCTCTTACTTTTTTTTCTATCTTATGAGTGCCGGTCGGGTTAATTCTGTTACAGCCACCTTATCACCTCTGCACCAATTTTTGTCTGTTCTTTGTTCCACTGCTGAACAAAATGTACTTCTGTCACTTTACCTACTTTTAGGTGTCCCTCTATGACCTTAGAATTTTAGTGTAAGTGGCAATAGGAAATTAAAAAAGTGATAAAGTACACTAGCATGTTGCCAACTTTGTTATTTTTGACATTAGCACCTTAGAGAAAGTCAAAGTCTTTGAATATAGAAGAAACTAGTTCTCTAAACTGTAAATAAAAATTCAGTTTCTTCTATATTCAAAGACTCGGACGCACATTTTGGAGCACTATGCCGACTCGGGCACTTCTGTGTGTTCTCTACAGGGTTCGCGGTTCAGGGAAACAAAACAGGACAGGCCGGGACGCTGCGCAGGGCCTTGTGGGAGGAGCCCAGTGGGGGTCCCACCTCTGACCCAACCACTACTTCTGCCACTAACACCAAGCACTCAGGCCAATGAGTGGCCAGTGGAGCTGGAATAAAAAGTGGAAGAAATCAAGTCAGGAAAGTTGAAGGGGGGAAAGGGGGAGAAGAGATGTTCCCGTGGTCACTGACTCACTTGGACGGTGGGCAAACCAAGTCAGAGATGGCCCGTGTTCGAAACGCTACCCGGGCCCCAGGACCGAAGGTGTTTTGTGTTCCTCATCTCTGATCAAGGTTCGCTTATAGCAGAAGACAAGACATTATTAGGGGAAGCAGTGATGCTTTAAGACTGCACACCAGTATTTTTACTACTTACTGAATACTAACCCATTTCTATTTCTTAACTTTCATTCTTTTCACAGCTAATAATTTTGTTAAAAGTACATGAGAAAGTACAATTAGTATTGAGACTCTCGAGTCTTAAAAAAGAGTCTTTATCATCTAAAAGATATAAATGGTAAGTCTGTAAAATAAAAGACAACGAGCAGAATAAAGTTTTCCCAGGGGAAACGATAACTGGCACTAAACGACTTCATTTTCTCTTCAAAGCCAACTCTGCGCAGGGGATTTTCCCATAGCCCTGTCTGAACTTTCTTGGTGTGCGTGCATCAACCCGTCTAGGCACCCAGCAGCACTGGTCATTCCGAAGGGCAGATTCTCCCTGTGAGGTCACTGTGCACTGCTAGTCCGATGTTTCTAAGACTATAGTTTTATGTTTCAGACTTAACAGTTAACATGCAACCAGCATGAGAAAAGTGATTTCTGTTGCTCTGAAGTGCTTGCCTAATTGAGGTGCTGATAACAATTTCCAGGGAGGTTCTTCTCTGTCACCGGTATTTTACTGAAGTGGCTATGAGACCTATCTTGCTTTGTTATCACAAGGCAGCCTGGCCACCAAATTACCCCACCAGGGAAAAGAGCAGGGAAAGCATTTACTTTTAGCATCATTCCAGTCGGGAGAATCAGGGGGCAACTTCCGCAGGTAATCCTTAAGGAGCATCTCATATCGGGGAATCCGCTGAACAGGTTCCAGCATGTGATGCTGCAAAGTCAAGTTCCCACAGATCTTCTGTTTCTGTAATTGAGTTTACAAAGAAAGATTTGAGAATTAGGGTAGCTAATCTAAAAGCCCACCATTGTACAGAGCTCTCATCAAGGGCAGAATCTCCCTACAAAGTATGGTCTGTGTATCATGTCTGCATTAGATGTATCTAGAGTGCGAGTAATAATACAAATTTTGAACCCCATCCCCATCTATGAAACTACAGTCTTTGAAGTTAGGGACTGGGCATGGGCATTTAAAAACATCCCAGATTCTTCCATTTCAGCTTGAGGACTAACAACCTAGTACAAGAACAGAAGGGGAAATCAAGAATTATAAGCAAGAACATCCCAGATTGCTGGCAGCCACTTCAATTAGCCACTCCAAGGGAGTGTGAGGTCACACTGTTAAATCATCACAGATTTTCACAAGAAGCACTGACAGGCTATGCCAAAAGTGGGCTTGCAGTTGTTTGTGTGGAAAATAATACAATAAATGAATAATAATATCAATACAAGAATAAACTGTTTCTTCTGCTCACAGTTGTAAACCTACTTTGCCCCCCACTTTATATTTGATGAGCTTCACTAAGAACAACTTTATTAAATGACTTTAGACTTAGCAAAAACTATTTCATAATAAATCAACCACAAATGTCATTTCCTTTGAACTTAAAAAAGAATGACAAGATGTGATCATTCTTTTTCTCATCTGTCAGAAAATTTTAATTTTTCATTAGGTCATGGCATTCTTTTCCACTAGAAACAAAAGTCCCTAAATAGATCCTACCCCTACCCTCACCCCAGAGAAACTGAGTCTATAGCATTTGTTTTCAATAAACTGTTAACATAATAGAGGGAAAACATGACTTACAAAATGTCTTTGTTCATATTAAAGCATGAATTGTAACATGTTTATTAAACTCATATCATGATTAAGACACTGCAGGGTATAAAGGCTGTATTAAGACATGATGTTTGCATTTCAAGTGAACAAGAATCCAAAGGCTTCACAGATAAAGGAGCATTTAACATAAACTTGAATGAGGGCAGGCTTTGGGTGGGAAGGAAAGTGAGTGAAGACTAAGTGACCTTGGAGACCAGGCCCAAGACAGTGGGGCATGAAACGTGTTCAGTAAAAGAGAACAATTGAGTTTTGTTGGCAAGTAACGCATTTGTAAGGAAGAAGGGTGAAGAAGAAACAGTGGAGTCTGGGGTGATAATGCCGACTGTGTTCATTACTGTTTCACCTAATGCATATTTTCACGCACAGGAGTAATATCATTAGAGATCTATTAAAATCAACCTACTGTAATACGGCTTTAGGAAGTGTGGGGAAACTAGTTTGGAAGTTATTATTGTAGACCAAAGAAAGGAAAAGAAGCCTGAAATTAGCATGGAAGCTGAGGGCTAATTAATGGCTTTGCTTAATAAATATTAATAAGTTTGGTTATCTCATTTAATTTTCTCTAACATACCTACATCCAGGAAAGTATTAGTGATCCCAAAATTTGTACATAAAGAAACCATGGCTGAGAAGAGTTGGGAGAGTTTTCTAAGGTCAAATGACTGTCAAGTGGCAGACCAGGATTCTAAACTAACTTAGTGGATTCTCGGTCCATCGCTCCCTTCAGAGCCCCATCCCTTCCACATGATGTGGAGGAGACAGACATTGTGGAGACGGATTTCAGATTTGGTAAAATGATGACCACCATCATCGCCATTGTGTAGTGAGCACTTATTGTGCAACAAGCTCCACGTGAAGCTCCTCAAATGTATTATCTCGTGGGCAAAAACAGAGAAGGAAGACCGACGAACCAGGGCAGCCGAGCTAGAGAATCCCCCCAGAACCTTATGTGATCTAAAGAACTCTTTTCAAATACTTAAATTTTAGCCAAGAATAGTTATTAACAATTTTTATTAGAGAATCAAATAGAAATTACTATGGTACTATTATCCATGTATAATAAAAATTTAAAAAATCAGAACATAGAAATAGAGCAACAAAAAAATCCAACATAATGATGTTGGTCTCCGAGATGCCAGGATCTACAGCACTCATGCTCTATATTCATTCCGACATCTCAACCTCTGAAAGAAAGCAGGAGAGGCACAGGACTGAAGGGGAATCCACTCTGTAACATATGTGCACCCTGCGTTGTCAAAAACCCTTTTCTGATCTCCAAAGCAAATGGAGATTTCACCATTCAACACATGGCATATGCTCAATACATATTTTAGTTCTGCAGAGATGACTTCTGCACCATTCAGAGTGGAATGGAATTTGGCTAGGTGTCTTGGACAGCTATTGCAATCTACATTTTAAATCTAGAAGACTATGATTTGTAGAAAAAATCGGTGCAGGGCCTTGAATAAAAGAGTCATATTACCTGAATTTCTTCAACTACTGATTTGAACTGGGGAATACGCTCTGTCATGTTTTTAACTAATTCCATTGCGTTATCAAACCCCTTCACATATTCTCCATACATCTTCAGGAATGGTGCCAATTTCTGAAGGATATCACCAATTCTAGGGGTAGTTTCCCTGTATAAAATATAGAAACAAGCCATGAAGATTTCTTATAGAATGAGGGAATTAACAGAACTTCAGATGAAGTCGTCACTTTTCTACACACACTCTGTGCTTTACTGGATCAACCCTGCTGTGAGATTGGTAGAGAATGAAGGCAGGCAGACAAATGAAGGTTAGGAATGATACAGTAAAGAGGGAGCTGAGAAAATCTTGAAGCTCCACATCACCCATAACATCTCATCTTCACTAGTCAAAATAGTTTGAACAGCAGAGATGAAATTATTTTCAATTGAAATTAAAAACATGCAACTTCTATTATTGGTCTATCACATAAAAATTTACCACAAATGTTTGCCTACAGCTCTGTGTGACATTAGTATTTCAACTTAAAAGCTGAATAGCACAGCATCTATATGACTGTCAGGTATCATTTGCTCTCTCTTCCTCTTACCATTCTTGCATTCTTTTCTCCAGCTCTGGCAATAGGAATTTACTATGGAAGGCATTTATTGATGAAATATTAGAAAAGATTTTATTCACCATCTCTGCTGGAAATGAGCCTCGATTTGCCTCTTCTAACAGTTTGCAATAAAATACCTGAATAAGAGAATAAAGCAAACATTACTTCAAGTCTATTGGCTTACCACCTGGCATTGTGCTAGGCACATAGTGGGATCTTTAATGCGATCTTGTTGAATAAATGAAAACATTCATGGTTCAAGAAACAGTCATTTTTGAACTATAAGAGTGAGCGTGTGCTTTGATTAAGAAGAACCAGGGATTTGGATTAGGAAACTTTGACCCTAACCAAGGCTACGCCTCTTTCTGTGGCATGTTAACCTTTTCTGAGCTGGAGAATTTCCAGCTGAGGTCAACAGGACTCATCTTTCCAATCCACAGGTGGAGTTAGATTTTAAAAGTTTGCATGCACAAAATAATTGTGGTACGGCCCCACTTCTGTTTATGTTTTGAATGACGGATATGTCATTTACTACATCGTGTCATTACTGTCATTTGTTGGAACAAACCTACTTTTTTTCTATTAAAACTGTATACTCCTTGGGGAGGGAGCGCATCATGATTTAGTTTCCACAGTAGAAAAAGTGCTTGATAAAGAGCTGGTCAGTGGGTGAACAAAAGAATATTTCAGTTCTCCAATGTGTTCCTGCTCGTTAGTAAAAAATAATACCTAAGTTAAAACACTGGTATGAGTATAAAAAGATCTTCTCCTATCCTGCACATAGTAACTGGTATCTTTAAAAAAAAAAAGATCTTATTCATTTATTTTTAGAGAGGGGGAAGGGAGGGAGAGGGAAAGGTAGAGAAACACCAATGTGTGGTTGCCTCTTGTGGGACCCCACCAGGCACTCAGTCTGCAATCCAGGCACATGCCCGGACTGAGAATTGAACTGGCAACCCTTTGGTTTGCAGGCTGGCACCCAATCCACTGAGCCACACCAGCCAGGGCACTAACTGGTATCTTAAAGATGATAAAAAAGAATTTGCAGTCTTAGCTGTTCTCCACTAGGGCTACTATACCTCTTGCATTCTACTACATGTAGGCAGAAGGAAGTCTGTTCCTTCATAATGTCTAGATGGTTGTTAATTTTCTAAATCCACCTCCACCGCATTTTCTTGGGAGACCAAAAGAACAAAAAATTATATCCTTAGAGACTTCAGTAGATAGGACATTAAAGTATTAAGACTCTAAAGTTCTCTAAGGTCAGCAACAATAGCTGAATAAACTAATGTGGCTGAAAAAGGTGAGGCAGGTGGAGGGACACAGTTCAACAGAAGAACAGACACTTCTCCACCACGGTAAGACCTAAATGTTTCAGCTCTGTGATCCCCATGAGGAGAAAGTTGTTTCAAAGACACAAACTCAACAGAAATTGATTGACTTACGGAGGAATTCTTTGGAAAATGAATATTTGAGTGACAAACTCATTATTTCAAAAAACACAGCTTTAATTCGGTCCCTTAAGGCTCACCATAACAGGGACACAGCTTACTCTAGGAATTAATGACAGGGAGTGTGCCTAGGACAACCGCTCTTGTAGTGTTCCAATGACAGAAGTGGGACAATTCTTACAACTAACACTCAAACATGGCAACTCTCTCTTATAAAGAAGCCTGTTTTAGCAGGCTATCTACCAGCTATCGTATTTTTTTATCACTGAAACAGGATTAAGGGACCTTAGTTGCTCTAATGATATATTTAGAAACATTTTCACAGAACTAGAACAAATATTCCAAACATTTATATCAATCCACAAAAAACTTTGAATGGCCACAGCAACTTTGTGAATGAAGAACAAAGTTGGAGGAATCACACTACCTGATATCAAACTATACTGTAAGACCATAGTAATCAAAACAGCATGGTACTGGCATATATAAACCAATGGAAGAGAATAGAGAGCCCAGAAATAAACCTACATCTTTATGGTCAATACTGACAAAAGAGTCAAGAACATACAATGGGGTAAAGACAGTCTATTTAATAAATGGTGTTGGGGAAATTGGACAAATATGAGTACGAAGAGTGAAACTAGACCACCTTCTAATAACATATGAAAAAATAAGGTCAAAATGGATAAAAGACTTAACTGTTAGACTCAAAACCTTAAAAATCCTAAAAACATAGACAGTAAAATTTTAAACATTTCTTATAGCAATATTTTTTTCTGATATATCTCCTCAGGCAAGAGAAACACAAGAAAAATAAAAAAATGGTACCATATTAAACTATAAAAAGTTTTTGCATAGCCAAGGAAATCATCAACAAAATGAAAAGTCAACACACCGAATGGGAGAACCTATCTGCTAATGATACATCTGACAAGTGTTAATACCCAACAGTTATTTAAAAACTTACAAGATTCAACACCAAAAAAATAAACTATCCAATTAAAAAATGGGAAAAGAAGATGAACCAATGGCCAACAGACACAGAAAAGACGCTCAATGACACTGGTCATCAGAGAGGCGCGAATGAAAACCACCATGAGGTACCACCTCACACCTGTCAGAATGGCCACCACCAGTAAATCAACAGACAACAAATGCTGACGAGGAAGTGGAGAAAAGGGAGCCCTCGTGCACTGTTGGTGGGAATGCAGACTGGGGCAGTCACTGTGGAAAACAGCATGGAGACACCTCAAAAAAATAAAAAAGGAACTGTCTTATGACTGAGCAATTCCACTTCTGAGAATACATGCAAAGAAATCCAAAACACTGATTCAAAAGAATATATGCACCCATGTGTTTATTGGAGCATTATTTGTCATAGCCAAGATAAGGAAGCATCAACAGATGAGTGGATAAAAAATCAGTAGTACATTTACACAATGGAACACTACTCTGCCATAAAAAATGGGGGGGGGGCGGTTAGTATCTTACCCTTTGTGACAGCTGGGGTGGACCTGAAGAGTATTATGTTAAATGAGATAAGCCAGTCAGAGAAAGACAAGTACTATATGATTTCACTTATATGCTGAATCTAACGAGTGAACAAAACAGACATGGACTCAGACTCATAGATATGGAGAACAGACTGACAGGTGTCAAAGGGGTGGGGGCTTGGGGACTGGGTGAAAAAGGTGAAGGGATTAAGGAAAAAAACCCACCACATAGACACTGACAACAGTATGGTGATTACCACAGTGACGGGGGGTGGGGGTAGGTAGAAGTGGATACAGCGGGATAAATGGAGATGGAAGGAGACTGGACTTGGGGTGGTGAACACACAATGCAATATGCAGATGACATATTATAGAAGTATATACCTGAAACCTATATAATTTTATTAACCAATGTCACCCCAATAAATTCTATTTTAAAAAATTTAAAAAAGAGAACTATTGGAAAAAACCCTTTCTTTGCTAATGTGCTTTTGAAATGATACCGAAGGCTCTCCCATGATAAAAGTACAAAATGCGATGAAGTAGACTCATATAATCAACAAATATGGACTGTGCAACACCAAGCACCATAAAAGACGTTTCACAGAAGCCTGAGCAAGGGAACTCTCCAACCCCTTCTGGCCCTGCAGCAACCCACACGATGCACACAGGGCTGAGAGCAAATGGGCCAGACAGGGTAGGCAATGTATTCACATTAGTGTCACACCAGAATCGCCAAACTCTTATTTAGATTGTAATAGTAACGTGGCGTACAGAACCACAATGAATGGTTTAGGGCTGAGATACACAGACAAAGGCACTTGTGACTTGTACCGAGAGTCCCTTAGCCTGTTCCATATTAAGTATACACCCTGTATACCTGGTGAATTCACTGGCAAAGTTGAAAATGTTACACTTCTCCTGTCACTGGTCCGAAGCGGACAGGGCCTTCTTTATAGTTTCAAAAGACCTTAATTATGAAGTTGAAGTAATGTATAGTGCTAAAAGTTAAAGCAATTTTGAAAAGGAAAACATTACCTGATCTAAGAGGTCAAGTCGGTTGACGTAAGCTCTTTCCGTAAGCAAGAGTTCATTGGCTATGTTGTGAAGTTTTTGCTCATTTGTCTCCTACAAATAGAATAGATATTCACTTATTAGGAAATAAAGCTTGGATGATACTTCTCAAATAGTAAACACCTCATCAAATGGATTGATTAAAACTGTTTTCTCAAGCTCCTCAAGGTACCTAATTCCTTTTAGCCATCAAGGAACATCCAACCAGAAAGGAACAAAATTAGAAGTAAGTGATTTGCTGGATATAATCTGTAACAGCTTCTTTAAGTTGTAACTTCTTCTTTGACCTTTGTAGCAGTCAGTAATAATGCTCATCCATCTTTTCCTTGAAACATCTTTAATCTTTTCCAGTTCTCAGAGACTATACTTTTCTCTTTTTCCCCTACCTCTCTTGGGCTACTCTTTTGGACAGGATTCCATCACTCTCTCAAACATCATCTCTAATTATCAGCTCTATGGGCAAAACTTTTGCCTTTGCCCAAAAACCCCACAACATTTTATTGTGGAAAATTTCAATCATACATAAAAGTAGGAAAAAAAAAAAGTAAAATGAACCTCCATGTGTCCAATGCTGAGATTCAACCATTGTCAACTCATTGTTCATCTCGTTTCATCTATGCCCCCCAACCTCCTTCTACCCATATTTTAAAATTAAATCCACACTTCATTATTTCTTCAGTATATGTTTACTTAACACTTAAATATATTTGTAGAACCTTCCTAGTTCCACGAGGATAGGAACAATTTTTCTTGGTTAACTGTCCTGTCTCTTGTATCTACTAAAATGCTTCAATGACACATGGGCACACAATGAAATTTTAACAGTTTCACCCAACTAACTACTATGGGACATCTGTTACCACTTTGACATGGTATCAACATAAAATGAAACTCACTATTTCTGGAAAATGTCTACCCTGCCACCACCCCAAACTTTATCATCCTGGCAATGGTCCCATCTCTTTCCAGTTATGTCTTTGGCACCCTGAATTACTTTAAACTTAGTTCCCTCACTAAATCCACTCAGCGACCCACCCCTCTCATGACAGTTTTACATCTTTAGCGTCCATCCTTTAGGTTCTCATCACCGCTGCCCTGTTTTGCTCCTACCGTACCTCAAGCCCAGGCCAATTAATAGTTGCCAAATGCTCTGATTTCACTTTTTTTTTTTTTTTGGCTCTAACCCACCTTGTCTACTGCTGTGTGAGGAATCTTTCTAAAACTCTGCTTTGCCCAGATAATCCTGCTTTCCATAGAAAGAGAAGCCTTCCACAGTATTCCCCTCAAAGACGGGATAAAATCTAGATTCCGTATACCATTCTGGGTTGTTCAAGCCTCATCACTTCCTCAAACTTCTTTCTCACTGTCTCCTCTTGAGACCCTTTCCTCCAGAAACACTGTTCTATCCCCCTTTATCCAAACACATCCCTGCCATTTCAAGCCTTTTTTTTTTTTTTTTTTTTTTTTTTTTTTTGTCCTCACTGCCTGGCACGTGCTCTTGCTGTATCTCTCTAGGAGTTTAAGACTTACTTTTCTTTCAACAGCCTGATGCATTTCCATCCCTTGCCTATGGAGCCTTCTTTAACTATCTAAAGCCCTTGGGCTTGGTCCTATTAAGGTGCATTTTATATTTTATGCCAAGGCATCTTTTTGCTTAGAAATTTCTACCTACTTACTTTGCTGAAATATCCTTTTTCACTCTAGGAGAGTATAAAAGTATAATAAGGGTTTAGTAATAACCCTAGTGCCAAAGTATATTTCAAACCAGGGTCTCATCTGTGTAACTGTTACATTTTCAACTATAAAAAGAATGTTTCCCTGTACTCAACACATATGTCAGCCTCTTTATGCTTTACACGCAGCATCCGTTCTGCTGCAGAAAATGACCAAGTCACTTCTTCCAGCTGAGATGAGCAGGTACAGTAACCTAATATTGTTTAAATAATTGGTGGTCTCAGAAATACTGACACAACAACTATGCAGTCAGCAAATTCCCCAATTAGTCAAGGTTTTAGTTTAACTTAATGGATTCAGGGTAAAGCACTAGTATTATTACCTGCCTGGTGCCCTCCCCCTGCTGCCCCACCATTTCTTTATTAAAGATATTTTTTTTAAATCCCCACCTGAGGATGTGTTTATCAATTTTAGAGAAAGAAGAAGGGAGAGAGAGAAAGAGAGAAACATTGATAGGTTGTGGTTGTCTCCCTTATGTGCCCCAACCAGGGATCAAAACTGCAAATTAGATCTGTGTCCTAACTGGGATCAAACCTGTGACCTTTTGGTGTACAGGATGACATTGTAACCAACTGAGCCACCCAGCCACGGCTCCCCCCATTTCTTAATGGTATCCAGATTTGGTTAGTGTATTATCCCGCTACTATGTAGCCTTTCCTTTAGGGAAACTAACCTCATTCCCAAATCAAAAGGGAGACCCTGAGTGGTGTAACAATGATGGGTACAGAGCAATTGGTTCAGGAGCCAAGGGGACATGAGGAAGTATGCACTGGCAGCTTTGGAAAAGGAGGCTTGCCCTGCCTGGTGTAGCTCAGTGGATTGAGTGCTGGCCTGTGAATCAAAGCATCGCTGGTTTGATTCCCAGTCAGGGCACATGCCTGGGTTGCAGGCCAGGTCCCCAGTAGGGGGCATGCAAGAAGCAACCACACACTGATATTTCTCCCCCTCTCTTTCTCCCTCCCTTCTCCTCTGTCTATAAATAAATAAATAAATAAATAAATAAATAAATAAATAGATAGATCTTTTTTATTAAAAAAAAGGAAAGAAAAACAGGCTCCCTGTTTTTAAAGGAAGAACCACAGAAAAAGAGCCTCTCTCTCTGCTGCTCCATGTGAGTGAGGGGACCTATGCCGGCTTCAGTGCTATGAGCGGTGGTTCCATAACCACAGAGGTGCAGCCAACAGAAGTCATATTGTTTAAGTGAGGTCGAGTGTTATCGATGTTATCTTGTAGCATCCGGATTAATGCAAAAAACAAACACTGTGAAACAGAAGCAGCATATATATCCCATGAACTTTAAAAAACTTTCAAGTAATTTTTAAACAATTATTACTTATATTATTTACTTCTCTCTAGAAAGTAAAATGATTACTGAACTAAAAACGGGACTGAAACTGTTAATAAGTGGACACAAATACACAGTAAATACATAAGAAATCTATCAACATTTCAGGGGAAGATGAAGTAATATGTTATTCTACATACAGGATATACTGACCTAATCAATGCTATGAATTATTTATGTTGATTTTGTGTTTTCAAGCCAGATTTATTGAGATGAAATGTACAAATAATAGAAAAACTCGCCCTTTTGGTGTCAAGTTTTAGCTTTGCCAAAGGCTCATGACCACGTCACCGCCACCACGACCCAGGTACCATGTGCGCTCCCACCGAGCTCCTCCCAGGGCTCTCGGAAGTCAGTGCCGCTCCTCTCGGCAGACCGGCCCGGGAAGCTGCTGCCTGGGCCTGGGCCAGAGGCGGTGTGAATGGGACCACACAGCACGTGCCTTCAGAGTCTCGCTTCTTTCATTTATCGAAATGCATCCTGAGATACATCCGTGTTCTTGGTAGTAGTCTGTTCTTTTTCAAGCTCCCAGTTTCATTTTAATACTACTACCGATGTATCTTTTTGATTCATACACTTTCATGTGTTTTGATTCTAGTTCTGACAAATATCTTTAAAGAAAACGACCCTGCAGAATTTGTGCTAGAATACAGTAATGTCTCTTGTATGAGTCAGAATTCATTAACCCAAAAGTCATACTGTCTATTGTTGCCATGCCGTGAAGTCACCCCTGAGGTCTTCCACATCCTACGGCGGATCTTAGGATGCTTGTAAGAAACAATCTTTTGCTGACTGCAAGTCATATTTTAGCTGAACGTGGCAAATTGTGGGTATCCTGGACATATTTTGCAAAAGTCAAAGGGGATGCCAGCAGTTATTAGCAAAAGCTATATTCCTTCCACACAGATGGTCTTCTAACGTGAGGTCCCTGACCTTGCCAAAACCAACACGAAGATAAGCAAAAGTAAGTTTGCTGACACAGTTTAATCACTCACTTGGAGGTCTGTGAAAAGTTCCCAAGGATTTTGCGGCTGAGGCCAGAAAATCACAGGCTCAGGAGGCTTCTTTTAAGTGGACCCTAACAGCAATAATAGTCTCGCTGTAACGGGAACAACTAACACTCATGCACTGACTGCTGGGTGCCAGACACTATCACAAGTATTTCACATAAATGGTCTAATCCTTACAATACCTTTATAAAACAGGTACCATTATTATTCTTTTTTAAAAGATTTTATTTTTATCTACGTTTAGATAGAAGGGAAGGAGAAAGAGAGGGAGAGAAACATTGATGGGAGAGAGAAACTTTGATTGGTAGTTTCTCGCACGTGCCCTGAACCCCCAGGGACTGAACCCACAGCCCAGGCATGTGCCCGCCCAGGAGTCGAACTAGTGACTGTTCGCTTTGCAGGACAATGTCCAACCAACTGAGCCACAGTGGTCAGGGCACTGTTACTATTCTTATTTTACAGGCAGCACACATGCACAATGAAACAAAATCCCCAGGCTCAAAGGGGCCTGGAAAATTGTCCAAGGTCACACAGTTAGAAGGTAACTGAATCAGATTCTTACCGGCCATACCTGATTTTAAGTATCTACTCACTAACAGTTGGCTCCCACTCTAACCCTTCTTTGCAACAAAAAAACAAGACTGCATTTAGTCTAGTCGTAGACTGCTAGATTGCGTTGTGCCTACAAGTGAACAGACTAACAAAATACCAACTATTCATTTAAAAATGGAATGTGTTACCTACTATACATTTTAATTTATACAGTAATTATTTTTTCAACCAAAAATTCTACTTAAAGCAGACCGCTCAGCACTTTAACAATAATTATCAGGTATAAAAATTCAGTCATATTTGATGTGATAATACTACAGCTTACAACTTTAAAAATTTTAGTTACTTGAAGCATTAGTTTAGTTACTAAAATTCATCTACAAGTATATTTAGGGAGACATATATGATCCTGC